AGGGTCTTTTCCAAAGAGTCCTCTACTTCGCATTAGGTGACCAAAGTATCTGAGCTTGAGCTTCATTACTCAATCCTTCCAATGAGCAGTCAGGGTTGATTTCCTTTAAGATTGACTTGGTTTTGACCTCCTAGCAGTACCACGGGGACTCTCAAAGAGTCTTCTCCAGCACCACAGTTCAAAGGCATCAATTCTTCGGCGCTCAGCCTTCTTTATGGTCCAGCTCTCACAGCCATACATTACTACTGGAATAAAAGGGATAGAGAAAAGCTATTATTTTTCTCATAAATTAAATGATAAAGCTTTTGTTTGCCTTTCAATATGAACCAACAGAGGTGCAACCTCCTAAACAATTGAAATTCAATTATTTAATGTGGAGATTTTGCAGTGCAGTTTTCTGATTAAAATGCATACAAAATATAAATGCTAAATTGTAAAGAAGTATTTACAAAATATCTACTAAAACGTTTATGGAACAAACATAGAACAGACTTGTGCCTGTAAACATGTCAATGTTACAGAAAGTAAAAGAGATTTATTTAAACAATATTTAAACTAAAGGCATAATCAATTTCTGGAATTTAGTAAAACATGTCTAGTTTGCCATTGGTTCAGACAGATTTGAAAAGATGGCTAAATTAATGGTAGACCTCTTTGACATGCTTCTTTTGAGGTTTCCCAGAGTTATTTTGTTAGTCACTGGGAAAATAAGATATTAGACTAGATAAGATAGTTCTCTTATGTACTAGTGAATCCATCCAACACATTTTATTTTCTGTAAATGTCTTGTTTGGAATCAATTGTTCCAGCAGTATTTAAATCAAAATAACGTTCGTTTTCATATTTTCAAAAGTACATTTAAAAAGACTAGAGTAGAATAGAATAGCTGCATCCATTTGTTTCTTTCTATAACAAATAAGTAGGATTTGGTGAAAATCTTTGTCCTCCTTTATTTTATTTTTAAGGAAATACATTCAGCAAAGGAGAAGAACATTTCAAGGATAAATGGATAGACTTATATCCAGCACTGAATTGATAAAAAATCTGCTAGATCATCTTAGACTCATAATTATAACAGGATTATAATGTTATTTTTGAATATAACTACAAGGTATATGGCTGTGACCTAAAGTTAGCATTTGTACTACCGTGCATTGTACCTTCATGTGAAAGGAAGAGTCTGACAGCTCTATAAGCATTGTTTTCAGAATATTAAACATCTGTAAAATATATTGGACAGAAACTCATGAATTCTAGAATGTGCTATATGCAGATTATGTCATGTATCACATCACATAATGGAAAATGATATGAAAAGTTCAAATTACTATAAATGCCATCTTTGAAACAACAAGGGGGAAAGTATCACATTTCCCATCTTACAGACTTCAAGACAGAGTAGCCAGAGCAAAATGAGAAAGTAATTGTCCCACCAAATATGTCAAGGTTAACAGAAAAAAATGTATGAAGAAAAATAATGACTGGAACTTTATTTTAGCTATTTAAAAAAATGCAAGAGAGGGTGGTTTTGGTCTATGCTGTTTGCCTTTTATGATGCTTTACTTATTTTATTTATCTGGACTGCATACAAGCTCGTCGTGTTTTCCAGGAACTGCTTCTGCACATCTGTTGATGTACATCTGTACATTTTGTTATAGTTATTCAACTCAAGTTCCATTGTAAGAAAAAGAAAAGTAATGTAATGGAGAACAGATGCTGTCTATGAATTTAATCCCTTGTGGATTAGTTGGTAGAAATGCTTGTTTTCTCACTCTTTCTTGCTTTCATTTCACTGCTGATGCACCTTGAATTCTTACTTAAAGCAGCTGGTAAGAAATATATTTAACTGTGGAATTGGTTTTCCTTCCTTCCTTCCTTCCTTCCTTCCTTCCTTCCTTCCTTCCTTCCTTCCTTCCTTTTTAGGGATGGGCCTGAGCAAAATTCACCTCAGATTGGTCAGTTCAGTGGCAACACTGCTTTGGAATCTGTCTACAGCACTTCAAATCAGATTTTAATAAAGTTCCACAGTGATTTTACAACAAGCGGCTTCTTTGTCCTTAGTTACCATGGTTAGTGCTACACATCTAAAGGATGTGTGTGTGTGTATTCACCTTCATTTTTTAAAAATAATAATAATAAACACAAAGGACATATTCCTAGTTGTATTGGTAAACAATTTCTGCTTGATCACTACATTGGCATGCTTTCTAACTCTCACAAACAAATTGAAATGTGTGAGGACTAGATGAGTTGTTTAAATAATATGGCACATTAAAAAGTATTGGTAGCTATTATTGCATGACAATAAACATGAGGATTTATAAGAAGAATAGCAAGAGGTGTAATGAGAACCTAATAACAGAGCAGAGCAAAATTTGTACTCAGGAAATGATGGTGATGGTGATGGTGATGATAACAAAAAGTTCTGTATAGTGGACATTGCAGTACCTGGAGACAACAGAATAGAAGAGAAAGAACTGGAGAAAATCACAAAATACAAAGATCTGCCAACTGAAATAGAATGACTGTGGCAAAAGAAAGCAAAGATAGTACCAATAGTAATAGGCACCTTGGGGGCAATCCCAAACATCTGGAGGGCCACTTGAAGCCCATCGGCATTGACAGAATCACCATCAGTCAATTGCAAAAGGCAGCTTTACTTGGAACAGCTTCTGCCAACTGAAATAGAATGACTGTGGCAAAAGAAAGCAAAGATAGTACCAATAGTAATAGGCACCTTGGGGGCAATCCCAAACATCTGGAGGGCCACTTGAAGCCCATCGGCATTGACAGAATCACCATCAGTCAATTGCAAAAGGCAGCTTTACTTGGAACAGCTTATATCCTGTGATGATACTTTTAGTGCCATCAGACAACAATATCTGCCTATCCCAGGTCCTTTGGAAGGACTTGATAGGTGGATCAAAATGCCAAGCCAGCTGTATGACTTGGACCAGTCAGTCTCTCTCAGCCCAACTCACCTCACAGGGTTGTTGTTGTGGGGAAAATAGGAAGAGGAAGGAGTGTTAGGTATGTTCACTGCCTTGACTTATTTATAAAAATAATGAAGGCAGGATAAAAAAAAAAATCTAAACAAATGTAAACAAATCCAGTCTAAACAACTGGCTGACTGTGTGGCCAATAATAATACCTCCCTGCTTGGAACTGCCTATATTCTTAGACACTAACTTAATAATTTTTAGCTCCTTGGTTAAGACTTGAATTATTACATTTCTACCAGTCTTAGACTGTGAATCTAACTGCAGATTACCCACAGATAATAATATACAGCTAGACTGGTTTCTAAGGGATAGATCAAGAACAGAAAGAAGCAGGGAAAGGAAAATTCTTTGAAGAACATCTTATCCCACCTTTTGTTCACTGCAAACTATATAATGTAGTATTTTTAAATAAAATACTGTAGTTGTTTTTTTAATAATAATGGATGGTATACTATTTAATGTAGTATGGAGGTCCAAGTTTCACATAGCCATTAAAAAGCACATATTTGGCAGATATTTTTGTTCAGACTAACAAGCTGTGAATCTAATTAACAGTACTATTATCTAGCATATATTTATCAATAAATTATAATTAAATTAAATTAATAATTGATAATTAAACATTATCAATAAATGTTAAATATGTCACCAAATATCAATAAAGGTATTTGTCATACATGTTATGAAATACATGTGCATGTTCCCTACAAATCCATGAACCTAATAATTTGTCCTAGACTTGTGAACAGTGTTAGATGCAAGCTAATTTCCCTGTAATTTCTTGTATCTATTTTTCAATTCCAATGTGCTTATTGTTATAATGTAAACTGGAACAGTGTATTAACCAGAATGTTTTCTGCTGCTTTCATAGCATATCAACTTCGAGTCTGTCAGCCTCCACCTGGTATACCAAATGCTGAAATTCTGACTGAGGATGAGGAATTTGAAATAGGTAAAGTCAATATTTACATAGACAACATCTACTTAATTCCAAAAAGTGACATATTTAGCATGAATGTGGATACTCATATATTTAAGTTCATTTCCATATATCTAAGTGGGGAATGTAGAATCTCCCATAATTAACATGGCTTCATTTTTATTTAACTAAATTTATTAGTAAAGTCATAATGAGTAAGTTATTTTTACAATCTTTAAAAAAAACCCTTTCTATATCTTCTTGGATTTATTTTCATGGGATGTAAGCACTCCTAAATACAGCATCTTCAGGAAATTTAATACATTGAAAAACTTGACAATTATATCAGTTCCCTGATATGTCTGCACTAATGCATGTGTCACACCTATACATAAGTGGGAGACAACAGCTTATTCAGAGTTATCTCCAAAACCTGCAAATATATAACATATAATAAAACTACAGATGTAAGATGACATCTTGCATATGGTCAGTGATACTCAGTTACATGGAAGTTAAGGTTGTCAATTTTGACAAAATTGGGACACAGAATAAACTTAAGTGGCTAGAATAGAATTTAACCCCAGATAAGTGTGGAATGGACTGGCTGGATGAAGAGGAAGGAGGAGGCGGCTGAGTGATAAAGAAAGGACTAGCAGAAAAATCTGATTTTGGATATCTGATCTTTTAAATTATATATATTAAATATCTGTGGGTATGTCTGTATGAGTGTGTCTCTCTGTGTGTATTCACATTTATTTTAGGATATCTCTAGGTAGCTCCACTGATTCTGTGCAGTTACATATAAAATCATGGAACAGCCAAACTCTTAACATATACCCATGATAAATGGTTGTCTGTAAGAGATGGTCCCCAAGCCAAGAAAATTCAGGAGGCTATTAAGGAAACAACAACTAGCTGCAACCTTTATCATTATCAGTGAAGAGATCCATCTCCTTGCTAATAGGAAGCCGGTTAGAAAGAAAATCAGAGTATCTCTGCCCTAATATACAGAGAATATATTGATTCTAAATGGACAATAGTTCAGTTGCTGGATTTTTTGTAACCCATGCCATTCATCTCAGTAAAACCTCCTATAAGAGGACTCTGTAAGAATTGTGCTTAAAAAATTAAATCACTGGATTTTAGGCAACCACAAAAGAGCCTGACATTTTCCAAGTCGTCACCCACATCCAAAACTGCTAAAATGGAGGAAATCAAAAAAGTATCTCACACTGTAATACTTTGTTATAAGATGCCAATTTTGTACACTAATACAAATTGAATTTTCTTTTGTCTGGTTGCTAGAGTCAAAATGGCTGTACTCATGCACAAAATAAAATGATTAACTGGTAGAAAGAAAGTCATGATTTTAAAAGAGACAAAACATAGGGAAAGGAAGAAATAATCATCTAAACATATTTAAACGAGCCCATAAGTAAATCAGTGTGCACAATATTTGGAGAATGAACAAGAAGAAACAGTAATGATTGGGTTAGAGGGACTGGAAAAAGAGAATCAGCCATGTTTGATTTTGATTAATTATGTGCCATCAAGCAACCACATAGATTTTTTCCATGACAATCTATCCCTAACTTGGTATTCCAATGGTGCACCCATCACCATTGTAACTAAGTCCATCCACCTTGCTGCTGGTCATTCTCTTCTTCTCTTTCCTTCCACCTTTCCCAGTATTAGAGCCTTCTCCAGAGAGCTGGGCCTTTGCATAATGTTTCTGAAATAAGATAATTTGAGCCTTTTATTTGTGTCTCAAGTGAGAACTCTGGGTCGATTTGTTTGATGATCCATTGGTTTGTTTTCTTGGCTGTCCACAGTATTCTCAGGAGTCTTCACCAACACCAGAGTTCAAAAGTGTCAATATTCTTCCTATCCTACTTCTTCAAAGTCCATCATTTTATATTTCTTATCCATGTGGTTTTCTCGATAAAAATCCAGGACTGATTTACCATTGCCTTCTTCCATGCAGTATGAATTGATGCTTTTGCTGTTGTTAGTAAATTGATCATCTGCCTCCAGCATATTCCTGTATCACTGCTGCCCAATATAGGATGACTCTGTTGGGAATATATACTCTTGGTGTACTCTCCCAATGTTCTTCACTCATCCCTCCCAGGAACATCTTCCCTCCCCACTCCCCGGTCACAATAAGGCAGCACAGCAGAACTTGGGGGAGATCAACCACATAGATATTCAAAATGTTAAGACTGATTGACTGATTGATTCATTCATCTTTTTCTTTCCCAAAATTAACAGAGCTTAGTTCTTAAATTGGCTTATGGAAAAAACATTTTCTACTTTAAAATTGTTTATACACTTTGAAGTAATTTCAGTTTTTCAAGTCTGATTTTATCATTAACAAAAGTCCAACCAAACATCCTATTCTGAAATCCCCATATACCCCAGGTGTATCCAAAGTAGCCTTTCCTATTTCTGCCATAGCAGTACTTTATAGCTGTATGGTCCCACTGAGATACTTCAGTTGACTGCAGTTGTAAACCCTTTTGCACTCTGTGGCACTCTTCATCTGGCCAACAGGGCTTGGCTATGATCCTAGACAGCAATATGTGCAGATGGAGGAGACATGCACGTTCAGCCAGAGGCAATTTGAAGTCCATTACCTGGCTAAATGCTCAAGACCATTTTCATTTTAAAATCAGTTTGCTTGTTCAATCAGAAGCTCACCTGCTGTAAAGATTTCATAAAACGATCCTGCTGCATATGTGTATTGTTGTTTCAGATTGTGTTCTTTCTAAAGGTGCTGGAGATAAAGTAGAATTCACAGAGAAATATTCAGATTGTGGAAAATAGAATATTGCTAAATACTGCCAAGTACCAAGGTTCTACAAGGAATTCAGATTGGGTGTTTCTTAAACCTTGTGTGAAACAGTCTCCCTAGAAGCATGAAAGCAGCCATGTCCTCTGGAACATTTAACTGCTTGAATGAAATCTTGAAAAAAGGTTTTCCTTGATTCTCTGTGCATGCTTTCATATGCACAGAGAACTTTTCTGTTCAGAGCAATGAAGCAAAGCTGCTATTCAAACAAATATGTGCAGACAGTTGTGCAGAGCCTTCATAGATGTGCAAAATTTCCAGAGGATGTGCTGCTTAAATACTTTAAAAAAAGATGTTTCACTCAAGCAATGTTTTGCTGTATGTGCTCTTTCTAATGCATTGTGCTGCCCTATCAATTAATGCATAGTAATTAATGGTAACATCTATAGGACAATTCATGTATTCAGTTCCTTCAGTTTTAATTATAACAAGGCATTTACTAACAGATATAGAGTGTATCAAAAGTCAGGCCCCATAGGGGCGGCCTGTCTGTCTGCCTGTCTGTCTGTCTGTCTCTCTCTCTTTCTCTCTCTCTCTATCTTCCAGAGAAGGTTACTGTACTTAGAAATGTTCAAAGGTCATGAGTATGGAAGTGTTTAGAAAAAAATGAGTAATATTTAATGTAATTGATGTAATCAATTGTCTGCGGGGCCTGACTTTTCATGGAGAAAATCTATATATGTGGTCGCTAAGAGCTGACACCGACTTGATGGCCATTATAGATATAGATATATAATTTCTGAAACTAGTAGTAGAAATAAGAGAACTAGTTGCTCCCTTTTAATTACTGACATAACTGCAACAAAATGTAAAGCTTTTCAACTCCACATAGTCACAAGCATACAAACGTGTGAGTCCACTAATAGCACAGCTGGCATGAAATGATAAATGAGGTGGCTTATTTGCCACATCATTTCCTCTGTCTAATGAAAGCTATTTGTGCTAGTGGCCATTTGAACATTATATATGGTGGGAAACGTGCTTCGTTAATCAATGCTATTGTGAACGCTGAAAGTTCCCATTAATTGTTGTTTAACTATAATCTTTTCTCTTTGCCTCCTTTTTATCACACAGGGGACATAATAAGGTACCAATGTCTACCAGGTTTTACATTAGTTGGTAATGAGATTCTGACATGTCGACTAGGAGAGAGATTGCAGATGGATGGCACACCACCTGCTTGCCAAGGTTTTAAATTCTTTTTTAAAAACTTCTTTTTAGTATGTATTTGCTTGCTTTGATATGCTTGTTTGTAATATTTACTTAGCATTGATACACACCAGTGGAGGGATATATATATAAAATGCTGATACTGACTGGGTTTGATTTGGAGTTGAGGAACATCCAGAGGGCAAATGTGAACCATTTCTGAAAGCATTTATTCAAAAAGTGTTTATGTGCATTATCTTCTTATTTCCTTTACAAATACACTATGCTATGGGTAAGACAACAAGAGTTGTACAGCAGTCATGGTCTTATAATATATGGCCATTAAAGTTGGGCCATCAGAAAGGATGAATGATGAAAAACTGGTGCCTTAAAACTGTGCTGTTGAAGAGAATTGTTGAACAGCGAAAAGAGTAAATCATTAAATAGTAGACAAGTAAAATCAATTTGTTCACTGGAGCACTCATAATAAAGATAAAGCTTAAATATTTTGGACATATACTATAGAACCAAGACACTTTTGAGAAGTCGTTTGGAAAATTTAAAGGCAATCAAAAAGATGGCTGACAAAAGACAAGATGGCCAGCTATAATTACTGACGTCAAAGCACGAATTTACAAGAATTCAAAGTTGTTGACAGCTAATCCTGGTGAATAGCTGTCCATTGAAACATGAAGAGTCAGAAGTGACTAAACAACTGAGCAACCATGTGGCTAAGATGTTGGACCAGGACTGGGAAGACCCACATTCAAGCTCACACATAGACATGAAAGCTCACTGAATGACTTTGGGGCAGTCATTATTTTTCAGCCAAACTTATTTCTCATAGTTGCAGTGGGGGGAAATTGGAGGAGGGAGTAACCATCTTGACCTCAAGAAAGAAAGGCTGGATATAAGTCTAACAAATAGTAAAAAATGAATATCCATGTATTTGAAATGGAGGAGCTATGTCTAAGGAAAAATAGCACAGCTAAGCCCACTGACAGCAAATAAAATTCAAATCAAAATGTTCTAGGTTGGCACTAGCTCTCCTTTATCTTTTTTTTTTTTAATAATATTTTATTGAAATTTTAAAGTTTCTCCTTTATCTTTTTATGTTACAAATAATATAGCCTTCTTTTCTTTCCAGTGCATTCCATGGAATTATGTTCATTTGATAATCCGTACATTTAATAACTTGTTTATATCAGATGCCTCTTGATCTATCTCAATCAAAGCAGAGTCTGTCAATAACCAGCCTTTGGGCGGGGGGGATTAGCAACAGGTTTCCAAAACTTCCCAAGAGGATTTGTATTTTTCCTTAAAAAAGGAAAAGTAGTGCATCAGTTAAATAAATAAATAAGTAAATAAATGAATACAGTAAATAGTCCATCAGGGGAAAGCAACTATTCATGTTCTACAATCTTGTACCATCCTATAACATACACTATACCATACCATACTTGAGTGGAAAAGCAAGGAGATTGGAGGTTTCCATTTGCTGAATCCATTATTTTTCAGAAAAACAATTTGAGTTAACTCAAATCAGAACCCAATATAAGGATTAGGGTCAGAAATAAGATAACTATGAGTAGATCAGAAGTTTTCTAAGCATAAATCTTCTAATATCTTTTTATTAAATGCATTTTATTACATACAAAAGTTGCATAGAAAATTACATTATTAAACGAAAATAAGTTAGAATGCACTTAATTTATTGTCACTGAATATGTAGGGTTCTTGAACTCATAGGTATTCATCATTCTTCATACCTTTAATTGAAACTGCTGAAACTTGGAAATTACTACTCCTTTTATTAGAAATATTGACCTTTCAAACACATTGCTAAGGACACACCCCTACAACTCAATTAAAGATAAGTCATAATCAGTTTCTCAATTCCTATTTTCTACCTAATAAAAGAATAGATACTACTTTGTTCTCATTTTAGTCTTCTGCCCAGAGGTATATGTAGAGAGGTTAAAAAAAGTGAAGAAGATGGTGTTGTGGCCAAAACGTGGCTCGCCAAAAGCAGCCAGATCACTTCGAAGAGAAAACATCATTTTATTAGCATGCAATCAATAAACAGTATCTCCTGGGCTCCCAGCAAAGCTGAACAGCCCTGATTAAAAGCAGAAGCAGAGTTTATATATCTTTGGCCTACCACATTGCAAACAGAAGACAAAAGAAAAAGGCAGACACAGTGAAAATTACAGTCTGATGTTGGAATGTTTTAGATTAACCCATCCATGTGACCTTATTGTTACTTATACCCTCGTACTAGGTCAGCACGCTAGCCATTCTATCTTTGACATATGGTCAATGAATAGAGACAATTTGGTTTACTGGACCACAGGTAGTTCTGATTGAGTCTTCTCCCTGTCACCACTCAGGGCCAATTCAGCTTGCTGTGAATGTTTTCTTGAAAGGGCACTTTAAGCAGTTCATATGTATGGGGAGGGATGGGTGGCAGTGTCTCATAGGTTAGATAGTGAATGTGGCTTATATGGGGGCAAAACTTTTACCACCAGATTGGTCACAACCATATGGTCAAAGCTTTGTCCTTTGATATGTGCACCAACATCACAAACATGTATAAAGGAAGGGGGCTTCAGTGATGCAACCATGACCACCAACTTGACGTTTTTTACCTTTACCCCCACCCTCAACCTGGAAGCTGCTGCCGTCCTCACCTTTCTCTATTGCAGAGCTGAAGCATTATAGTGGATAGAAACTAAGTGCAACACGGAAAAAAAAAAATCAGAGAGTGAAGTACTATTTAATTTCAGCTGCATATTTCACCAAACATGTGGCGTTAAGACAATAGACTTTCAGTCTAGAGCTGATATGGTGTTTTTCTTCAGTTATCATATTAGGGATGGTAGAAAAACGTGTTATTCTATCTGCGTTGGGACAAACATTCAATTAAGCCCCAAAGGAAAATATGGCTCTATTTGTCAAATGTTTACTTCTTTAAAAAGTCCCATTTAGTTGTGAATGGCTTTGCTATTCAATGGTTACTTATTTTACAAAGTCTGCACCTTCTCTGAACTTCTTTTTTAAAGTACCCATCTTATAACAATTGTTTATAATCCATTTATTTAGCAGGTGTTAATTATTATATTCCCAAAGGATAACAACAACAAAAAAAGTTAAGATATGTCACTGAAGTATTTGAATAGCACATCATTTCACAAAGAGCAACACATAACTTCTGGGGCAATGAATCCTGCTCTTTTCCCCTTCAAATTATGCCGGCATGTCTAAAAATGAGAAAAGAAAACAATACCAGAGACAGAAAATAAAAGTCTGTTGGGCAGACTTGGAAATAGCTCCATTTATTTTCTGACACAAAGCATACTAAGCATATGCTAAGAAGAGAGACAAAAAGAGCAGGCAAATCACTCACTTAATCAATGATCAACTTGCTTGGCTGGAAGGAAATTCTACTGAATGTATGGGACTTTATGAAGGGTTGTGGCGCCTGCCCTCTCCATTGAGCTTTCCCATGAGATCCGAGTGGCTCCCACCCTGGTGGTGTTCTAGGGGACCTTAAAGACCTGGCTGTCCCGGGATTTGCCATCTTGTTTACTCTTTTCTATGTAGACTGTACATTTTTTAATCTGGTTCTTATACTGTGAACTGGCCAGAGTCAGTCTGGAGTTGGGAGCACCTAAATCAATTAATTAATTAAGGCTTCCATTACATTTATAGGTAGAGAGATACTAGGGGCTGATAAAACACACACTAGCTTTAATGATTAAACAAGAGATGATTCGTGTACTCTTCTAAAAGTTCTGAAGCACCTCTCTCTCTGCACAGCCCCAGTAGATATACATGTGTCTTATAAGCATATGAGACTCTCAGCCTAGTGTCCCCACATAGCCACCTTCTTGGAAGACAAGGAGGAGGAGAAGGAGGAATCATCTATATACATATGGCTTATGCAGTTAACCTGCCTATCCATGTTGAAAACCTGTCTTTTTCAAGTCATTAAGAGATTGAGAGATGGAATTTATATTCATCATGCAAACTTTATGTCAGTTCAAGAGGTGCACAATGTATCAAGGGTCACATTCAAAAAGTGTGTGAGACCAGGGACCATTTTAGCAGGGGAGGGAAATACAAGAACTCTAAGGGGTAAAATGGTTCCTTAAGCCTGGTAAATTCCCCAAAGTGTAGATTTACAAGCCACAAAAGGGATATTGACAGTCAATACTTTCTGCATCCCTGTCCTATCTGAAGCAACAACTATATGGAAGAGTTTAGCTTCTCTTTCTTTATTTGATGCATAATAAGTTACACTAGGATAAAGAGGCATCCTCTCAGAAAAGAATATCTCAAATATACACAAAATCAAACACAACAATGTGAATACATTTCTTCTGTCCCCTTTCCAGAGATTTATCCATGTTTTGATATATTTGGGATGAAATGTTTGATGTCCAAGCTGAAAATGTCCCAAAATGAGAATGTTTTCAATATCTTTTCAGTTCCTTAATTATTTACAACACATTTTCTCTTTTTGTAGTATTATGCCCTGCAAATGAATTGCGCCTTGATTCAACTGGAGTGATACTGAGCCCAGGCTATCCGGATAGCTATCCAAACCTTCAAATGTGTGCTTGGACCATTACAGTGGAAAAGGGTTACAATATCAGCCTTTACTTTGAATTCTTCCAGACAGAAAAAGAATTTGATATACTTGAGGTGTTTGATGGTAACTAGAGGATATTCAACATTGAATGCATAATATTTATTTATCAAGTAATATTACATTGTCTCATTTCAGAAATAATACAGTGTGATTTTTGCATCCAATTAATGAAAATTTTCACTAATATTATGAACAGATGGCTACAATATACTGATTGCATTATTTAAATGATTACTTATCCAAGAAAAAACATTTAACATTTCTCTAATTTTGGTCTTTCTTTTTTTCTCATATGTGTTCCCTGGTATTAAGGACCAAATAGTCACAGCCCATTGCTAATCTCCTTAAGCGGAGATTATACCTCCTCTCTCAATATAACAAGCACTGGTCACGAAGTGTTTCTCCGATGGTCAGCAGACCATGGAACCAACAAAAAAGGTTTTAGGATAAGGTACATAGGTAAGTCACCCCCCTTTTTTCACTCTACTTTAAAAGAGTCAATAAGGTGAACAGCCAGCAAATTGGGAGGTAGGAGAAATGGTAGGTGGACGAGTCTATATAAACAAGGGGGAAATAAGATCTTGGAAGAGCTGATTTTAAAATCCAACTAAATGCATGATCAGTTCTATTGTTAATATCTAGCCAGTAGATGTGGTGGGGGGTTTTTTGTTTGTTTTTTGCTGTAGTTCAAAGCAGCCCACTGCCAAATGACCTCAGAATAATTTTCCACCTCCAAGAACATGAGAACATCACCTTCATCAAAGCAGCTCTGAAACAATGTGCTTTGTTTCGAACTTTTGCTCATTCAAGTTTAGGGATGGAGGAAACCCCTGGAGCATGCCAATTCTATCAACATTTCTTTGGCTTTTGGTTTTACCTCATGAAGAACCCACACATTTACTTTGAATTTCACTTTAGACAAGATTTAGATGGCAATTTTGTAGGGGAACAATGTCAATTACTCTTACAATGTGTGATACGGGCAGTTTTTTAGGAGAAATACGACAGTGGTTCCATCCCAAATTGGAGATGTCATTGAGAAGATAGAGCACTACTGCCAACTCATGGCCATTCTGTCCATATTTGTGTGTCAGCAGGCTGCTTTTCTGAGTTATGTACAGAGTCCGACATTGCACAGAAACTCAGTCTTAGAGCTCTGCCAAAGCCTTTCTTAAAAATCCCAGAATTTTAAAGGTGGGTCACTCATAGGCTTCTTAAACATATAGGCAACACATTGTTTTCTCTATTTTCTTGCACCTGGACATTCTTTAGGCCAATCCATTGTCCTTTGAAAAGCAGACCCTTAAGAAAATGAAGGCTAGGACATTTATTTCACAAGAGTTATTACATTTCTTGAACCCCAAGATTAAACATTAACATTTTTTTAAAGAGTGACACTCAATCATTCTGCTGGGGGGGGGGGGGGAAAAAAAAAAGACAAGGAGATTTCACCTTCTGTAGACCAGTTAGTTAGTTTCTGAATTATCCTTAAAACCTTTAGAGTACAAGCTTATTTTCTTCGCCTTTTTGTCATCAAGGACAGGGTTCTTCAACCTTGGCAATTTGAAGATGTGTGGACTTCAACTCCAAGAATTCCCCATGTTGGCTGGGGAATTCTGGGAGTTGTAGTCCACACATCTTCAAGTCACCAAGTTTGAGGAACCCTGATCAAGGAGATCAATAAGCCTCCTTACAAGAAGACAAGTGTGTGAAAGACACTGTGCTATGCAAGACTCCACCTACAGAGAGAGAGAGAGAGAGAGAGAGAGAGAGAAAGATGCAAATTTAGACAAAATTAACAAGTCATTTCCATATCACAATATGTTTTGTGGTTCTTTGTCCTTTCTTTCATGACAAAAGCATTCACATTCCTTTTATCCAGCAAATGAACTGTCATTTTTCTTGATCTTTCTGCCCAATATTAAATTACCCTGAATTCAGGTTAAAATAAGTATCAATTACAAATTTGTAGATGGAAAAATTGAACCGATGTTAACACAGTGTGAGTAAATTTCATTTATAACTGACAATGGATTCCCTCCCCCCTCCCCCAAATGGGCAGAAGTAGGATTCACAATGTCGGTGCTTGGAAAAAAGAAAGTATGCCTTGGGTCCTTATTTATAACTCTTATTTCAATACTGTTTACAGCAATATCCCATTACAAACGGGTATAAGCACATTGAAGATGCAGTGTGTCCTGTTAGCTGATTGGAAATTCAGTTTAATCAGATCTTACTATCTGAAAATCTGTCTTTCCATGCCTTCCAGCTTGCTTCTCCTCTCCCCCTGAAAAGAAATGCAGCCAGGGAAAACATTCCCCATAATATGAGCCCAATACCAATGGAATTATTTTTCCCAGTTAGGTAAACAGGCTGTTTTATTTCCTCACTGTTTGTAGCATGCACCACCATGCCTACTAAAGCAATCACACATATAATTCCTGCAGACAACTGTCTGCTATTAAACAATGTAATAATTAGCATCGTAGGAGGAGGACGTTCATGAATTCTTTGTTTTGTTCTGTGTTTCAAGCTCTTTACTGCAGTACTCCAGAGTCACCTCCTCACGGTTTCATTGTTAGCCAGACAGGAGGACAGCTCAACAGCGTGGTTCGCTGGGCTTGCGACCGAGGATTCCGTCTCATTGGGAAAAGCACTGCTGTCTGTAGAAAATCTCCCCTTGGATACCATGCATGGGACGTACCTGTACCAGCCTGTCAAGGTTAACATTTTCATTACAAATTGATGTTCTATATTTTGGCTCTGATACTGTCAGCCCTTTGAAGTAGATCAAGTCAGGAAACAGATCTCACAAGAAATACTTGAGCTCTACTTTATGGATACTAGCTGTAAAAACAGAATCTTGAACGTCTGATAGAGTTTCTTCTTCCCTCCCTCTTATACTCAACATAGTCAAGGTGGGCCTATCTTGAGTTTCTTCCTCACTCTTTTTTTTGGGGGGGGGTGTCTAAGTATACATTTTCTTAATGGCCTAAATTACCTTTTGCAAGGCTATCTCTGTACACTTCTACAAATGCCAACTACCACTTTTATCCTAGTTCATGGGTAGCCCTGCTTACTTTTTACTTAATATAATACATAGTAGCTATTTAAAAAATGCACACCTCTCTAGTTCATGAAAAGTAATTGGTTTGCCAGACACAATTAAAAGTATGTGTTGCTTTTAAATTTGCCCATCTATAGAGTAGGTGTGGGAGGAGATCAAGTGCCAAAAGACTCGACCTTATGCACTTGCATGCAACATTGTGATGCAAGTACGAAAGGATGGAGATTGTATTGTGACACCATGATACCCGTTTCTTCATTTTGGCACCATTGTGTCCACTTGGACATGCCCGTGGTCCCAAACAGATGGGGTCTTGTGTTCTTTATCATAGATCTTCATCCACAGGAGCTTTCAGGCAGTAAGTTACTACATAGAAATGATGGTCTGAGGCAATGTGAGCAGTTCTTTCCTTTTTTAAATCACACTGGTGATCACTGAAGAGAATGTCTTCACAGATATTCTCCAGTGGGAACTTCATATGTACCAAAATATTTCCAGATGTTAACTTAGGTGACATCATGCCCTAGAGATGTCCATTTAATTTTTGCACTGGAACTTATCACCTAAATATAATTTCTGTATCATCATCATTGGACATTAGAATATTGGGGATTGGAGAAAAAGCCTTATCATGGTGCCTTGTCTATGGAATGTTGTCCTGTGTGTCATGTTCACCATAGGGCTTCAACCTTATTCTTATTAAGATCCTGGCTAAAATTTTTAACTCCAAATAAATTAATCCTGTTGGCCAATTCCAAATGTATCCCCCCCCCCCCATACCAGCCAGTATTACTCAGGGTAATACTGTTTCATAGCAATATGTAGTAGCGAAACAAGGCATCTGATCGATCTATTCAGCTAGTTCAGCTCAAAACTCAGAAGAGATTATGAATTTCAGATTATGCAAACAAATGCAAATGCATTTTTCTTCACTGTTTACAGTTTCATGTAACTAAACATCTTTAATTCTAAAAATGCTGTAATATTTATGGTATTTCTATAATTCTCCCCTTTTACCTGTTTAACTTAATGCCTTTTTGAAATATATATTTTGTAGTATTAGCAAGGAAAGAGTATTTCAAAGTAGCACTAAATAATATGAGGGTATATTTTTATACTGTTACTGAATATAACTTGAAAATATCAGAGGTAGCATTTGGAGATTAAGAGCTCTATTATGGATTGCTTGTAACCCATGGATATCATATTGTTTCTTGTTCTAATTATTATTATATTAACTCTATTTGATGAGTTTCATTAATATGATTATTTTGTGAGTTTTATTATTTGGGTATTAGCCACTCAGTATATTGGAGATAAGCAGAATATAAACATTGGCAAATTAATTAATGTTGGGATCTTTTTATCAACTTAGCTTATATACAAATTGCAGGAACTTTTTAATTTGTTTTATTTGTGTTCATATTTGATACATCCCTTCCATTTGTATTAACCTGAAAAATGAATTTCATATTCCTTTTTTTATCATCATCATCATCATCTGCAGTATTATCGCTAATGTTTTTCTGTTTTGTTTAATTAAGCATATAATGTTTTATATTACTGTCATTCATAATGTTAATGACAAACTAATCTTCATAAATAATCCTGAATGAATTGGCGGAATGATTTCCAGATAATTCTGCATAAAACAATGAATATTTACTGATGTTTGTCTCACACAGCATTATCTGGAGATCATTTCATCAGTAACCAGCAGCCATGAAAACCTAAATATTATTTTTAATGTGAATTTTCTTAAAACTAAATGCATTTTCCTACCTAAACTATGAATATGTATTAATATACATTTACTGTTAATATTTGCATCTTAGATATACAGTATATGAATGCATATGCCCATTAGAAAAATGTCAACAGAATGTTTTCCCAATTTAAATGCAAGCCATTTACTGGAAGAGGTGTGATTTTCAGGATACTGAAATTTCCTGAGATCCATTTCTTGCAAGATGAAAGAACTCCAAACAGAAGAATCCATTTATATTTATTGGAATAAAATTTTCTTTAAAACCCGCATGGCGGTTATTTAATTTTGATTGATTTATAAAAATGGCAAAATGTTCTACAAATATCTGTGCATTTGTAAACCTGAGGACAACATGATTGATGATGAATAATATGCTGAGTTATATCTAAACTATATATATTTAGCTGGTCATTTACCAAGTCAAAAGAGATCCATAATCCATGCTTAATGTAGCAATATGCAAAATGTTTCAGGGTCAAAATGCCCTGAAAAGTCCTGTTTTTACTGTCTGTTTGAACCCTACAGAACTGTTTGAATGCTGTTCTGTTCTCATTCTTGGAATCCCAAGCAGGCAGTAAAAAAAAGTTTCTCTGTTCATGCATATGTCTGTATGTGTGATTCAGTCCACTGATATTATACAAATTAAACTGAGTAACTTTTTAATTATTTTTATTTTTATCGTCTTGAATGTAACGGACAGTAGACATATACATACTTCAAAAACATTTAAGAAAAAAAATGTTCTGAAACAAATGGGAGAGCAACACCTCTTTAAAGCAGGCACATCTTTTTCAGGTTTCCAGGTAACCTCAAAAATAGATGTGTCTCTTTGATTTGTCAGCTTATTAAAACTGCCGTGTCTGTTATGCAATTCATTAAAACGGCAGGATCCATTGGCAGGCTCACTTGGAAGTCTGAAAAAAAAGACATGGTAGTTTCAAAGCGATGCTGCACTCATGCTCTGACACATTCTGAAGTACCTCTTCCCAATAATTTTCAAAGCATGCATAACTTTAATAGACAGTTTGATCCCTGTGGATTCTATTAAAGAGAAATAACACTTGAGTTGGCCACTCTTTATACTGTTCCTGAGCTCTGCTATTCAGTACAGGAGTATAGAGAAGTTGTTTGAAAGCACCTGAACAAGAATAGTGATGGTGATGGTGCAAGTAGTGGTACTAATTTTAGATTAACAGAAAGAGAGGTCCCTTTTGACAGGCCATGATAAGTTGGCACTATTATGAGTCTTTTTAAAGGGATCTTTCTCAGCCTTTTGGCTAAGACTAAGTGTCCTGCATAAAGCAGCAAGTCTTTGCTTTCCATTAGTCTTGCCATTACAATTAGCAACAATATATGATTAATATTTGCCAGAATAAGAGTTTTGAGTCTTGTTCCATTGTTGCCATTATTACAGGTAACCAGATGAACTTTATGTTATTTTAGCCACCGGAAAATCATTGTTTGATGAACAGCTGAGTGACTTTGGTATGATTAGATCATGTTTCAATTACTAAGTAATATGGATGGAACTTCAAACTGATGGTCCTGATCCTCTGATCATCAGCCAGTGCTGGAAAGAGGAACAAGAGGAGGCTGAGGAATATACAACTCAGTGCAGGCTCAGGGGTATATGGCATCTCTAGGCCACATTGGCTGATGGTTCCACCTCCCCTGATGTAAAGATCTACATTTTTAGAATGATTCTGAAGGAGAGGTGGCATTGCACCCCCCCCCCCCAAGCTTTGGCACCCTAGGCCAGTGCTGGCTTGGCCTTAGCCAAAACCTGGCCCTGATGCAACTGCTATTTAAACATGTACACTGCAGGTCACACAGGCTGAGAATCTCATTTAATGGGGTTTTGAAAAGTAGGAGTAAGAGGTTAATAAAATATATTCTCTCTTTCAACATCTATTTTTACTAAACACCAGATTGTTGGAAATAGCTGGATATATATTTGAACTCTCCCAAGGAGGATTCACTGTGAGTTCTAGAATATTTTTAATGATTTCAAAATCAATAGTTTTCATTTGTTATAGTTTTAATTTAAAAAAAATGTATTGGACTTAGTTGTGAAATATGCACTATACAAACACACAAGGAATTTTTTTACCCTCAGGCAACTCTTTAGCAAATGAAGAAAAAAGGAAAACCCATACCCATCTTATATACAGTATCTATTGCATCTCCATTATGCAATGTGTTAAATTTTTTAAACATCTATTTTAAATAAGCAAGCTTCAGTGATAAGAAAACACCATTTTAAAACTTGCACAAATGATGCAATTTGTTTCTTTTCTGTGTTCTAAATCATTCCATCTACACTGTTTGGCATGTGAAAAATTCAGAGCTATAAAAGAGTAGGGGAAGTGAATATGAATATACTGACCTTAGTGTTCAGTTTGTATTGTTCCATGCATCATATTTTGATTCAAATGAATAACACTTCTGACAGAATACTGCAAAACCTTTATGAGAAAATATCTCGAGTTAAGCAGAATCAAGAAATATTATTCTGCTAGTCTAACCCAGCAAGAAAATAGAGTAAATAATTTGCAAAAGAAAGTATGAAAAAGTGTGTTGTTTTCACTTGTTCCTATCTATGGTGATCACTGTCATTGGTGCCATTACCCAAATAGGCATCAGTCCGGGCACCTACATGAAGCCCACCAAATTTTTGCCCAGAGACCAGCAGTGATGCTATCCTGCTAAATTAGCCAGCTAGTAAAAACTGCAGCAGCATATCATTTTGAAATAGTTCTTTGAAATAAAAACAGCAAGCACCTGAAGCCTTTATGGGAGTGGAATGAGAGTCCTCCTAAAACTTCATTACAGATCCTGCTTCACTTTTGCTATTCAGTAGAAAGAATTCCTTCTCAACCTGATGCCTTTGAATTTTCTTGAGTTTGCAACTTCTGGAAGACCATATTGGCACTGAGGTGGTTTTCCTCTTTCAGTAGGTCCCATTCTGCTCAAAAGTCCAAAGCACTTATATTCCCAGCGACATTTAGAAAAAGCCAAGGCTTTGATGACTACCCTGTCTATTTAGTATATTATTTATTAGTTTAGAGGAGTAAATTTTCAATCTGAAATGCAAGAGTTCTGAATCTACTAATACAGTCTGAAATAAAATTGTCATTCAAAGCCATATCATGATGGTGACTTAATTTTTAAGAACTGTAATTTTTTTTTCAGAGTCTACATTGGATTTGAGCATCCAATGTCAGTGTTGATTCTAAGAGTTGAGTTCTCAGGGCATGAAACTGCTTGAATCCTATGTAGTTGGAAGTTAAGCCTGTTGTATTCATTGGGAGTTTTTCTTGATACAGACACTGCAAAGAGGCAATGAATTCTTCATCAAGTCTGATAGACAATTGAAGAGAAGCGGACACTCATTTGCAAAGATAGGAAGTTGGGAAAACAAAGAAGTCTGAATGATGCATTATTTTTGATGCTATAATCCTGCCTTTTTAAGCATTTTGAAGTCATGTTTCCATATTCGAATTAGGGCTCTATTTCTAAATATTAGAGATAATATATACAGAAATCAAATTTGACAGGTGTAGTCCAATGACATTTTGCCTATCTATGTGAATGTTTCAGCCATCTCCTGTGGAATTCCAAAAGCTCCAGTGAATGGTGGGATATTAACTACAGATTACTTAGTAGGCACACGTGTTACTTACTTTTGCAATGATGGGTACAGGCTATCATCCAAGGAACTAACCACTGCATCCTGCCAACCAGATGGCACATGGAGTAACCATAATAAAACACCTCGTTGTGTAGGTAAGCATAATCTAGAAAGGCTTTGTTGAATAACTACATGTGTTTACTTTGTTGTTAATCAGTGAAAGATATTTACAAGTATTTTGCTTTCCAAGTAATTATAGGTTTGAAAGGGTTGTAGGTAATGGTAAGTAGTGAAGCATCGCATAGACATTGGTGAAATGTATATATCCAAAGAAAATCTTAATGGATGTATAGCATATATATTGAAATGAACAATTTCATTACATGTAGTCCTCACTTAATGACTGTTCTGTTTAGAGATTGTTCAAAGTTACAATGGCACTGAAAAAGTAACTTTATGACTAGTCCTCGCATTTGTGACCATTGCAGCATCTTCATAGTCATGTGATTGAGATTCAGGCACTTTGCAGCCAGCAGGTTTTTATAACCATTGCAGTGTCCCACAGTCATGTGACTGCCATTTGTGACCTCACAGCCAGCTTCCAACAAACAGACTCAATAGAATCACAAGTTGTGGTCACAAGATGTCTCACTTAACAACTGTGTTGCTTAACAACAGAGTTCCTGGTCCCAATTGTGGTCATTAAGTGAGGACTACCTGTACCAGATAACATTTAGGGCTTCAACAGAAAATATTCTCAGGAGATTGTTTCTCAAAATTCTCTGCAGGAGAGACATTAGAAATCTGGTAGTATCTTTTCCAACTAACAAATTCTATGCAGCTGCATGTTATGAAAGCTTATGCCTTCTAATAAAATTCATTACTCAGAAAAGGTGCAAGCAGACTCTTGTGGTCTGAACTCTGGGTAGTCTCATTTTATAGGAGCTTTGGGTCCTACAAACTATGTGGTTTCATAGTCATCCTCCCAATCACACACTGAGTTTCAGAGAAATCTGCTTTAATTTAAGTATTAGAAACCTTTCTAGTCACAAGATAAAGTAAGGCTTGTTTTCCTGAACAGTTTAAAGACAGTGTATTTAAAAGAACATCTTCTTCATATATATTCCTGTCCAAACTCTTTGGATATCTTTCAGAATCCTTCACTAATTCCAAGGAAGCAAAGTGGCAAGCTAGATGGTTGAGGAACATCTCATTTCAGTACTGTGCTTGGGAAAATTGCTTTGCTCCTACCAGATGGTCTTCCTGCTGATGGCATTTATCTTTTTCAAGGCAGCTTAAATTATAGATTTTAATTGCTTGGTAGTTTTTCAGTGCTATATAGTTTGGGAATTATGGCTTTTATATATTTTACATTGTTTCCTTGTTTTCTTCTTGCTGGCTAATTGCTATCAAATGTTATTGTTTGTTTTATTTTCTTTTGTTTTGCAATCTATAGATTCATTTAATGAATTTATATATTCAAAATAATAATAACAATAAGCAGATTGGAAATAAGCAAATAACGCTGCAAGGAAATACCATAGTTATCAAAAACATAGAAAAGATAAAATCTTCCTTTGAATACAAAATGCGCCTCAACCCTTGATAAGACATTGAGTAAAAAAGTCAAAACTTGCTCCATTTTCCTTCAATGAACAAAACAGGATTAATTATTGCCAAAGTTATGCATATTGATAATAAGGATGATGATAGTGATAATTGAAAGTAATATTACATTTGTATTTTCAAAAGAAGAGGATGTTGCTTATTTCATAAAGGAACAGACAAATTTCACCAAACTGTTAGCGTGGATAGGGTTTTGCCATGTATATGTGTGTATGTCTATATGTAACCATACATGCAAACCATACATGGACAAGACAAGAGTAATTGATGGAATGCTACTACAACAGTAAATGTAATGAGAGGGGATATATAAAACATGAGGGAACTATGTATGGACAGAAGATCTACATCCATGTAACTGAAGAGCTAGTTACCCAATGCTTCAACATAGTTAAGAGGAAGTTGCTCTCACAACTTGAGATAGACCAACTACACATTACCTCCTGGACTCAAGAAGACTCAGAAGAACAGTTGGATGTGCAGCCAACACCTGAAGCTGGAATGTCACTGCCACCCCCTCCATTACAGAGCACAGCAGCTGATATGAGGCATAAGATCATGGATAAACTAGCTATAGTCAATTCTCAAGACTAATTACCAAGGTTCAGTGGAGAAGTGCCATCAGCGAATATGCTAGAAGATGCCAATAGAGCCCTCACAACAATCCCTACTGCCACCATAACTCAAACCAATGAACTAGTATATGCTATAGCCACTGTAATCCTGGAGATGCTTGGCTATGCAATCAAGAAGAACAGCAGTACATACCACCACCACCCCATACAAAATGAGGTTGGAGGCTAACATTAAGGCAGTTTGGAGAGAAATTAGTCAGCTGGTAAAAGGGTGTAGAGATTAAGTATAAGACTCAACTACTGAAAAATGACAAAGGCCTGACTCCATCCAAAGCCCTAGAGACTGCTAACAAAGGCTCACAGCACTGGCTACCAGGCTAGAGAAGAAGAGGCCAAGAAGATAAATGCCCTGTTCTCCAAAGAACTATCCAAAGTGTACTCCCAACTGCAGTGCAAAAACACAGCAACAGAGCCACCAGCAGCAGAAACTGTCCTGGAAGAACATATGGAAGAAGGAGAAGACACATAACACCAGTACAAAGTGGCTGCAGGACCTGACAGCAGACCACAGCAATCTTCCAGAACAGAAACCAGTCACCATCACAGTAGCAGGCATCTAACAGTGAGTCAAGAACAAGAAGAGCTGGACAGCAACTGGCCTGGACATGAACTGCACCTACTGGCTAAAGAAACTAACAGCAGTGCATGAAGATCTAGTAGCACAGATGAAACAGCTGGTAGCAGCAGGCTTCCACTCAGACTGGCTAACACAGGAAGGACAGTGCTGATCATGAAAGACCCCCATAAGGGAACAGTGCCATAGGAGAACACAGCCATCCAACTACCAGCCAGTAATCTTCCTCTCCATAACATGAAAAGTTCTATCAAGCATCATAGCCACCAAGCTAAAGGAACATATGGGGTTAAAAGGGCATTGGGAACAACAGCAGTTGCTCAAAGATAGTGCAGTTGCCTAAGACTCAAGGTCTAGAGAGGCCAATCTGAACACAGCCTGGAATGACTACAGAAAAACTTATGACTCAATGCCACACAAATGGATCTGTGAATGCCTAGTGCTATACAAAGTCAGCAGGACAGTATGGGCCTTCCTTGATAACTTAATGGGACTGCAGAAGACAACACTGGAAGTCAACTCAAGACAGCTCACATAAGTGACCATCAAGTGTGGCATATACCAAGGTGATGCACTGTCCCCACTGCTGTTCTACACAGGCTTAAACCCCCTCAGCCAGATAATCACAAGGACTGGATACGGATACAAATTCAAGAGTGGAATTACCATCAGCCACCTCCTCTACTGGATATGGATACTAGTAAAGAGTGTCCAATAGTAAAGAAAGGGTGGTAAAGAGAGGGAAGGTAGTTAAGACTGATGAGGTGGAACTACCAGTGGGCCACATAGCAGACATACAGACCAGCTACAAGTACCTTGGTATCCCACAGTCATGTGGGAACCACAATGAGGAGGTAAGGAAGACAACAACATCCAAGTACCACCAAAGAATAATACAGGCCCTGAAGAGCCAGCTCAATGGGAAGAACAAGATCCATGCCATCAACACGTATGCCCTGCCAGTCATCAGATACTCTGCTGGGACACTGAGCTGGCCAAAGGAGCACATGGAGGCTGCCGATGTGAAGACCTGGAAACTCCTCACAAGGCACGGAGGTTTCCACCCCAAGTCCAACACCCAGAGACTGTACAGCAGCTGGAAAAAGGGCAGATGGGATCTGGTGAGTCAAAACCGCTGTCCTGGATGAAATCCAAAGCGTCCAGGAGTATATCAGTAAGATGGCATCCAAGGATGAGCAAGCGTCCAGGAGTATATCAGTAAGATGGCATCCAAGGATGAGCAAGCGTCCAGGAGTATATCAGTAAGATGGCATCCAAGGATGAGCTGCTGAGAGAATGCCTGAGGCAGCAGCAGACATGGGAGGAAATTCAAGCAGAGCAGGTGCCACAGCAAGACAAGCCCCTGCATGGGATGTACCATTGAGAGATAGCTGAGGTGGCTGACATTGGGAAATCCTTCCAGTGGCTGGAAAGGGCTGGACTAAAAGACAGCACTGAGGCACTGATCATAGCATCACAGGAACAGGCAACTAAACACCATATCCATAGAAGCAGAGGTCTATCACAGTAGACAGGACCCAAGGTGCAGACTGTACAGAGAGGCCTCAGAGACAGTCCAGCACATAGTGGCAGGGTGTAAGATGCAGGCAGGAACAGCATACGTTGAACAGCACAACCAAGTAGCTGACATTGTGTACAGGACCATTTGTATAGTATATGGGCTAGACTCTCCCAAGTCCAGGTGGGCAGAAGGTCATGGAGAATAACAGGGCTAAGATCCTGTGGGACTTCCAGATCCAGATGGACAGGCTGGTACTGACCAATCCACCAGACACTGTGTCAGTAGACAAGGATCAGAAGACAGTGGTGGTGATAGATGTAGTGGTGCTAAGTGACAGCAACATCAGGAAAAAGGAGTATGAGAAGCTGGAGAAGTACCAGGTCTGAAGGAGGAACTAGAGAGGGTGTGGAAAGTAAAGGCCAAAGTGATGCCAGTGGTGATAGGAGCACTTGGGGCTGTGACTCCTAAGCTGGGACAGTGGCTCCAACAGATCCCAGGAACAACTTCTGAGCTCTCTGTCCTAGGACTAGTGCTAGGAACAGCTAAGATACTGTGCAGAACCCTCAAACTCCCAGGCCTCTGGTAGAGGACCCAAGATTGAGGAAGACACATACCACCGACAGGGGTGAGAGGGGATTTATATTATTTATATATTTTTATTCATTCCCTGTTTCTATATCTTGAGGCCACAATGTGACATACTGACTAGGAAGAAGAGAAAATAGATAAAACAAAATAGCTAATTGGGATATTAAAACCAAAGTGAGTATAGCAGAGAGAAGAGAAATACCTTTGAGGTCTATTTAAGCCATCTGCTACAGAACTTGTTTCCTAAGAGAGCATCAGGAACTGTGAAGCTCTCCAAGTGTGAGATATCACTATAAAGGCAATTAAGCCCGTAACACATGGTGAAGAAAAAGCCTTTAACCTACAAGGATATGGTGTGTGAATTGCAGGAGTTGGATCATGGACCTCCTTTCATAGCTCTAAGAGGATCAGTATTTAAATACTGCAAAGTACTGTTATTATTTTTAATATTGAATACAATCTAGGTAGATATAAGCCTTCTAGAAATAAGGTGTGATTACAATTGCAAAGTTTTGCCACTTTCTTTAGAATCCCGCCACAGTCTGATTTTCTACCACATAGCCAAAGGACAATGTTAGGGTAAAAAGGTCTCTTATTAGTTGTGACATATTCATTTTCTGATACAAGGAGTAATTATGATAATCCTTACTGATACTGCTAATATTAACATTTTACAAGTTAAAAGTTAAATCAGGAATTTTCATTTTTAAAAATGAATATGAATATCCCACTTTAAGATGTAAGATAATCATGTGTATTCCATAAATGTTTATATAAGAACGATATTACTGAAGCAAAACTGTTTTAAGCTCCAATACGAGGCCCATTAATTAATTATTTTGAGCAATAAAAGAAACATCCTCTGTAGCCCAAGAAAATGAAGTATAAAATGTTAAACTGAAATAAAACCAGTTAGCTACAATACACAGATTATTATGCAAATGTTTAATTTATGCTTTAAGATAGGTTCATTTCCAATACATGACCTGATATCAAGGTTACCCTTGTGAAGCTGTCAAAATATATTCTTTTCTTTCTTCCCACTTCAAGTTGTTACATGTCCAAGCATTAACTCATTTACCCTGGAACACGGAAGGTGGCGAATAGTGAATGGTTCTCACTATGAATATAAAACAAAAGTAGTTTTTAGCTGTGATCCTGGGTACCATGGATTGGGACCAGAATCCATTGAATGTCTTGCTAATGGAACTTGGAGCTGGAGAAATGAGAGACCGTACTGTCAAAGTAAGTATTCTAATATTAGCCCATTCGTATTCAACTAGCTCCAGGTCTTTATTTCAGTATTAGTCCTTATGTTCAGTATCCGTTTATTTTCAACCATCCATGTGTTAGTCTTGAAGGCCAACATATTGAATCTTACAATCCCTTTTCAATATGGTAGACTTTTCAGTAAGCCTATCATGTTTCTCCTCATCCTGGTATTACTGCTGGGAAAAATCCCATGGAGCGTATCAATGAAACTTTAACTGCACAAGAAAATCTATGAAGCC